TTAGTTGAGTTGTAGACGAATATAATGTGATGACTAATGGATGATGTTGGTTGATTGATGTTGAGTTGTATATTTGTGTTGTGCTGCAAGTTGACATGTTGAGTTGTACAATTGAGTTGTGTTGAAAGTTGATGTTGAGTTGTACAGTTGTGTTGTGTTGCAAGTTGATATGTTGAGTAGCAAATGATGTGTTGTGTTGAATGTTGATATGAGTTGTTGTAGGCCATCAAGGATGAAATTTTTGGGTTTGGTTAAGCTACATTTAGGTGTATGATAAGACCATGCAACCTAGGTTCCCTCCACTTGGACCTAAGCCTTGCCAAGTCCAAAAACAAATCCAATGCTACCAAAAAATACGTCGAGGCCTATTTTCTCACCTTAATAAAATACCCTAGTCCAAAAATAAATATCCCATAATCTAAGGCACCCCATAATACAAGGGTAAAATGGGAAATACTGGCAAAAATAAATCATATGACTAAGATATCCCAAAATACAAAGGTAAAATGAGAAATACAAGTAAAATAAATCCTATGTATAAGATACCCAAAATACAAGGGTAAAAATAGAAAATTAAAGACAAGGATAAAATAGGAATAAAAGTAAATTCTATGCTAACAAGGTTTAGGAGAATGATTAGGATTCTTTAGCCATGAGAAGCATGTCTCTAGGGGTGTTAGCTCCCTTATCCTCTTCCAATCTCCTAGCCTAGTGATGGATCTCACATGCAGCTCTAAGGATGGTCCTCCATCATTATTTAAGAGTTACTTGAATTAAATAATAATATAATAGTCATTATTAACTTTAAATGATTAATATAATTAGTGACTATTTTAAATAATAATTTGATAAATATCTAAAATATATAGATTATTATTTTTCAATTTATAATAAGAATTCACTTTTAAAATAATTTAAATATATTTTTAAAATAATAAAAATGTATCATTTTAAATTTAAAATGAAGTATATTTTTTGACAGTTTAAAAATGCTAGAAAATGAGAGGCAAGTAAAAGAAATGCATTTTTTGGCGGTTTAAAACTCCTAGAAATGAAAAACAAGTAAAAAAAATGCACTTTTGTGGCAGTTTAAAACTGCTAGAAACTTTAAACTATGCAAAATTAGAATGCATTTTATGGCAGTTTAAAATCTCCACAAAGTGATTGAATTTTTTGATGCCCAAAACTAGGGTTTACAAAATATCTGTCACAAATCATTTTTGGTGATCGTGGATCTGATGGTTATTAATGACGCTAAAAATATAATTTATGGCAGTTTTTAACCGCTATAAATTGTCAAAATAATCGCCGCAAATGACGCATTTTTTTGTAGTGCTTCTTCATTCTCGATGTCACAATCCTCCATTGAAACCTCAAAGGAAGACACATGGATTTGGAGGAAGCAAGGAGAAGATCATCCATCACTTCTACTTGCTTGTTCCATCAGGAAACCTTGGGAAATAGGTTTCCATTAGTAATTCTCCTTGTCATAGATGAGGATAAGATTTCATATTGCATGCTCTCCCTTTCCAACTAATAGGCGCCAAAAATCCCCTTCCCCTACATACATGCATGTATTTTGTTTGTTTTGCTAACTTATAATTGACTTGTGTTGATCTAGGTGAAATTAAGGTGGGTTTTGGGTACTAATCTATGTCCAAATGTTTAAAAAATTTGACTTAGTTTAGTGACGCTAGATAACTCATTCCCTTGCTAGATACACCATTTTCAATACCAAATTAATTAATTGATAGCCCATAAAAATCTAATTGTCACTCCTTTAAATTACTAACCCCATCTAGGTTTTAACAAAGTCACACATTTTTTCTTATTCTTAACATTATTTAAATTTTTTTTGAAACTTATGGAGTACCATTCTGTTTTGTATAAATAAAATAGGAAAAAAGGTTTTTAATTAAATAAAAAGGCTTTAGAAAATAAATAGGCTAAAATTGGGTTTTTAAGATAAAAAAAGGTTTTTTTTAAGAAAAATAATGAATTAAGATATAAATCTATTTTCTAGTTATTAGGTTTTGGTCCCCATAAGTCCAATGTACTTTTTTTTTTTATACTTGTTCATCTTAACTATTGAGACTATATCCAAATCTCAATCCAACTAGATTGAGTTCCACTATCTTTAAGCAAAGATATAAGTATTCTTTCAACAATCCACTTCTAACTCAACCCTAAGTATTCTTTGACTTGTTTCTTTAAGCAACTACCCAAGTAATCTTTTCACAACAAGCCTCTCTAGGCTTAACAACTAAGTATTCTTTTACAGTCAAGTCTCTCCAAGCTCAAAATAAGTGTTCTTTTATAGTCAAGTGTCTTCAGACTCAAAACAAGTATTCTTTTACAAATAAGTCTCTCCAAGCTCAACCTTATAATAATGGTTATGAAAGTTACACAGATATTTTGTTTGTCCCAGTTAGACGTTATACAACCATTATAGAACTATAGTTTTTTTTTACAAGAAAGAATGAGCTTATAAACAAATATGATTTTCAAAGTGTGTTTCTTTGTGTATGTTTTTGTACAAGTATTTTCTTTGTATGTTTTTTTTATATGTCCATGGAGAAAACATAGACACTAGAAGGAGGGGTTGAATAATATATATCAAAAACTTGCACATTTTCAAGTACGTGAAGTAGTATCTGCAATAGATGAAGAGTTAGTAAGAGTAATTAATGGACACATAAATTTTTTATATTGGTTCATCTCAACCATTGAGGCTAGGTCTAGTTCTCAATCCAACCAGATTTAGTTCCACTAACTTTCAACAAAGTTACAAGTATTCTTTTACCAAGCCACTTTTGGCTCAAACAAGTGTTCTTTGACTGGCCTTTTCAAGTCACTATTCTATTCTTTTACAAATAAGCTTCTCTAGGCTTAACCACAAATATTCTTTTATAGTTAAGCCTATTCAGGCTCTACCCTATAATAATATTTATGAAGGTATTACAAGGTTTCAATTGTCGTCTCTTTTTGACGTGATTACAACAAATTTTTTAAGTAAAAGAAAACTCTTGAAGAAGATTTTCTAAGAGATGTATATTGTATCTCAAAATTTTTCTGTTTCTACTTGTTTTACTTTCTTGATTTCTAGAGCTTCTTATATAGTAGCTTTGAAAGAGATGACCGTTGCAACTTCTTTAGTCTGATTCATAGAGCTACTTCGTCTGATCTAGAGAGAAAAAGTATTTGTTGGTGCATTAAATGTTTCAATTAATTCCTTTTACCTAAATGTACTCCTTATTTTTGATAGATTAAGCTACTTATTAGAGCATAGTAGCAAAATGGAAAGAATAGGAAG